TGGCAAAATTAATTCCACACCACAACAATATGAAATCTCAACGTATACCAATAATTACAGCCATGATACAACAATTACCACCATGATATGATATGGTAAAATGAATTCCATGCCACAATAGAATCACATCTCAGCATATACCGATGATTCCAACCATGGTACAAGTAATTACCACCATGGTATGATATGGTAAACCGAATTCCACACCACAACAGAATCACATCTCAGCATATACCAGTAATTACCACCATGGTAAGATATGACAAAATTACAGCCATGATACAACAATTACCACCATGGTATGATATGGTAAAATGAATTCCACGCCACAACAGAATCACATCTCAGCATATACCAATGATTACAACCATGGTACAAGTAATTACCACCATAGTATGATATGGTAAAATAAATTCCACACCACAACAGTATCACATCTCAGCATATACCAGTAATTACCACCATGGTAAGATATGACAAAATTAATTCCACACCAAAACAGAATCACATCTCAGCATATACCAATGATTACAACCATGGTACAAGTAATTACCATCATGGTATGATATGGTAAAACTTAAATACAGAGCACAATAATATCACAACACAACACTATGGTATCACCTCTCATCGTATACCAGTAATTACCACCATGGTACCATATGGTATCTAACACATTCAAACTTCAATTAACAAACAAATTTGTATATCTTACCTCCTGATTCACCAAAGTTAGGTGAATGACCAAATCTAAGATCGCTAGATGAAGAAGCAGTTCCAACAACGCTAGATGAAGAACCAGATCCTACAATGCTGGTTGAAGAACCAGATCTATCGAATGGAACAACATCGCCACAATTTACGTAACTCATCTCACCAGAATACTGCAAAAACACCAAACCACAAAGAACATGAACATGAACAAGCTCGATTAGCTAAACAGAACACACAAAGAAACTTAGACAAATTAAAATCTACAAAACCTCCAACGAAACCAGAGAAACTCAAACACGCTCGATTAGCTAAACATGAACAAGCTCGACTAGCAATTATCGCAACGAAAAACCTACAACGAAACCAGAGTTCGACACAACGCTCAACGAAACCATAGATCAACTAAAGACTCAACGAATCACGCCAGGTTAAAAGTTAACGACAGAACAAGAAGAATCAGAAAAACTAATATCTAACCGGAGATAAACTCGCCGTCGATTTAGGTAATCCACCTAAGTTCTCGTCGTCGATCAATTATGGAGAGAAAAAACTCGCTGTCCCCTGTTTCTAAGCTGGTGTTCGCATTTTCTCTCTCCAAAAACCCAATCCAGCTCGCACAGAAAGATTCGCACGGATAAAGAGGGAAAGTAATTAATTCAAATAACGGACAAAAATGCCCCTGACCATCACCGCATCAATCACAGCCACAAGATGAGTCCGACCCAGATCGACGGTTGCTATGTGGTTACTCACCCTATCCTAAGCCCACCACTCCAACACTCCACATGGGGAGCAAATCCGGTGAGTAACCTTGTGGTGAGTAACCCCATGCATAATCCAATAAGAATCTGCCACATCAGCGCCTCCTTCTCTCTTTTGGAAAAATCATTAATTTTCTTTCCCTTAATCTTTAACGGACGATTTCTCACTTGTTTTAACTCGGAATTTAATTTTTTTTTGCACAGTTAGATCAGATTAATTGTGCTCTTCAAAATGATATACACTTTGATATTTTTTGGAACAAAAAAAATTTGTCAGTTATTACCAGTCTATACCATATGGTATAGACTGGTATAAACTGGTATTAAATAACAGCATACCATATGGTATGAAAAATACCAGTCAATACCATATGCTGTTATTTAATACCAGTCAATACCATATGGTATTAAATAACAGCATACCATATGGTATGAAAAATACCACCTCATACCAGGGTGGTATAGTATGGTATGGAGTTGGTAACGAGAGGTTTGAAATTTTCCCATCCAGAAAATTTTGAAATCCAATAGATCATGATTAAATCGTTCCTTTTGTGCAAAAATTTCCGAAAATGACTAAACAACGAAGGAGATACCATATGGTATGGAGTTGGTAACGAGAGGGATGAGAATTTTTTTCTCAAAAAATATTGAAAATAGATATCATTTTGTAGAGCACAACGAACTCGTTCCATCTATGCACAAAAAATTGAAATTCGAGTTAGAATAAAGAAGATATGATCCAATTAAGAAAACTAGGGAAAATAAATTCTTTTAATTCTCCACCCTTAGATGTGCAATCACTCAAAAGAAGAGTCCAGATTTGATTACTCATTGGTACTCACACTAAGACTCATTGTTACTCACACTAAGGTTACTCACACTAAGGTTACTCACCCTATCTTGAACCTCGAATTTGGCAGAGGATGCTTTCCTCAATCCTCGTACTGCAGAGAATTCCATAAGGATAGACTTGAAGCAGCTTGTTCTCTATCCTCGGGTTTCAGGTAAGTGGATTGTTGTTTTTTACTGAAAGGAAACCTAGAATATGTACTTCTGCGTAGGGGTGAAACTGGGCCAAACCCAGCCCTGACCCTGTCACTACCCAAAAAAACCCAGCCCTGTATGCTCAAATATTTGGCCCGACCCGGCCCGACCCTATTCTCATTTGGCCCTGTATGGCCCTGTTGGGTCGGGCTGGGCTGGGTCGGGTCGGGCCATAGGGTCGGCCCAACTTCTTTTTATACAATATTAGCCCACTTAATTATTTAATATCAAATTAAATTTTAAAAAATTGCAGGTATATACTAGAAAATTTAAATGAGTTCATAACAAAAATAATCTAAATTAAATAAAGAAATTATTTAAACTAATTCAAAAAATAAAAGTTTGATTACAAAAATTCCAACTAATTCCAGAAAATTTAAGTTAGTCCAAATTCCTATATCAAAAATCCTAATTAATTCGAAAAAATCAAAATCAATTCCAAAAAATTAAAATTAAATCTAAAAAGTCTAAATCACCTTACGATAAATCTAAATCAAATAAAAAAAATGCAAATTACATCTAAAAAGTCTAAATTACCTTACGATAAATCCAAATCAAATAAACAAAATGAAAATTACATCTACAAAGTCAAAATTACCTTAAAATAAATCCAAATCAAACAAAAAAAAATGCAAAGTACGTAAAAAAAAGTACACAATTTCGCAATTCATCAAATACATCGCTGATAATATCAAATATATCATCTTTCAATCATCATCAACCAAATCACTCATGATAGTACTATCATCCAAGCAAAACTCCTTTAACTCTGCAAAATTAACAAAACCACAAATAAATTAATAATAGTATAAACAAATGATAAAGTGTTAAAACCACATTGTTGATAAAATTCATACCTTGCTCAAGTTCTTCAATTTCCTCAAACTTCTCTTCCATATCAATTGGAAAAGTACTCGATCGAAGCCAATTCTGACCACAAATCAAACTTTCAACGACCAAGGGAGTCAAAGAACTCCGAAATGCATCTAGAACGCGTCCACCGGTACTGAAAGCGGACTCGGATGCAACAGTAGATACTGGAATCGCCAACACATCTTTAGCCATCAAACCCAATATCGGATACTCACTAGAGTGCTTCTTCCACCACGCTAAGATATCAAAATTCTTATCCTCATCATCCTCAATGTTTGCCTTTAAATACCTCTCAAGTTCCGAAATAGTAGTTTCTCCAGCTCTGTCTTCTATTCTCTTTCTTTTAAATTTTCTCTTCAGATAATCCTCAACATTTTCACACTCCTCGTTCTCGTCATTTGGCTCTACGCTCCCCCCACTTCTTGAAGAACTTCCACAAATAACCCCTCTCATTTCTGAATAGTTCTTGAACATGTCATCGAGAAAACCCTTCACCTTATTATGCAACTCCTCCTTGGTCCAATCTCCCCCATTATCTTTCCCATAAACTTCATCAAGTGCAAAAACCACATATTCTAGCTTGTATCTCGGGTCAAGAACCACAGCAATAAATAACAAAGGGTTAATATTGTCCAAATTGCCCCAATACTTGTCATGCTTAGCTTTCATTCTCTTTGCCATGACTTTTTGACCATACACTTTAGATGAAGTTTCCTTTTTAAGCATGCAAGCGATGCCATATACTACATGAAAGAGATCATTGCTTGTGACATACAAAGATCCCGAAACTTTCATTGTAGCATCATAAAATATCTTCAGAAATGGAACTAGAGACTCCACATAAGACCAGTCCAACTCCTTTGGAGTCCCTTTCAACTTCTCAAGCTCAACTTTATACTTGGGATCCTCCTCCTCTAACCTCTCAAATGCCCTTTGAAATTGCAAAGCCGACTCCAACATCATGAAAGTAGAGTTCCATCTAGTCTCCACATCTAAACATACAAGTTTTTTGGTCTCTAACTTCTCTTCATGAGCACAAGTTTTAAATCTCTGCATCCTAGAGTTCGATGATCTAACATATCTGACTGCCGATCGAATACGATAGATTGAATTATCAACATCCTTTAATCCATCTTTCACGGTCAAATTCAATATGTGAGCACAACATCTCATATGGAGATGTTGTCCTTTCAAGACACTTCCCTTCCAGTTGTTAATTCTTTTCTTCAAATATGACATGCCCACATCATTAGAACTTGCGTTATCTACTGTTACAGTTAGGACCCTATCAATCCCCCAACTAAGCAAATGTTTTTCAACCGTCTTCCCAATTGTTTGACCCGAGTGATTAGGAATAGAAGAGAAGTTGATAATCCTTTTTTGCATCCTCCAATCATGGTCAATGAAGTGGGCAGTGAGACTCATATAATCCAGATGATGTCTACTTGCCCAAATATCAGTTGTTAGACAAACTCTGATTTGTGATTGCTTAAAGAAACTTTTCAACTTTTCCTTCTCAGCCAAAAACAACTTGAAACAATCTTTTGCTACAGTGATTCTAGAAGGAATATGAAACTCGGGTCTTAGTGAGTAGACGAAATCACGAAATCCTTCACGCTCAACATGTCTAAAAGCTAACTCGTCTATGATAATCATTCTAGCAAGCTTCATTCTTGAGACAGTTGGGTCATATGCTTGAGCTACAAAAGAGGGAGATGCACTGCTAGTACCATGAACACCAGTTGCCTGAACGTTAGGAGTTCTATTACTCTTCAAGTTAACATCACTATACGGGTATACTTTACATCTTTGCAAATGTCTTCTCAAACTACTAGTCCCAGAAGTAGATGCACACTTCAATTGCTTTGGACAGTATTTGCAACCAGCAAGTCTATTTGGCTTATCCGACCAATTCATTCTTGTAAAGTGTGGCCACACATCTGAAGTTCCGAATGCACCTTGTTCACTCTCACTAACATTCGTTGGCAGAACTCTTTCGGAAGGTGTGCCGGTAGAGCTAGCCATGGGATTGTTACTAGTTGCTTCGTCCATAATTTCAAATCTAAAAATCACACAAATATAAAGAGTGGTTAAAAACCTGAAATCCATATGGGACTAAGCCTCAATTACTTAGGGGTCGTTTGGAAGTTGTGATTCTTCAAATTGATGTATTGGGTTTAGATTGTGTTTTTGTTGTAAATGTATAAAAGTTAATTTTGAGTGATTGTTAACAATCTCAACAAAAAGTAGAGATTGACAATCCCTCAATTTTGAGTGATTGTGGTGGGACCTCCAAAAAGTGAATGCATGTATTCTCGTTCAATATAACCCAAAAAAACGACTTAATCTCACAAATACATGTATTATTTCTAGTTACACCATGTGTGGATTTTTGAATTTTATCTGGATTTTTTTAATTGTTATTCCACTTGTTGGGTTGTCTTAAACTACAATATTCAGATGATGATACATTTCATATACATTGTCGTACATAACATAGATGCATGCAAAACTATGTTTCGAAAAATAAAACCATCTATCTAGTCATGGCTGGATCTAACCTAAAAGGTGGTCAATACTATGGTCTCATGACGAACAATCAAATGCATGTGGTTGTAGTTGGGTAATTGATCTAATTACAAGGGATGGGCTGTGAAGACAAGTGGTCTCCCGTGGGCATAACCCATCGGCATGACTCATTCGTTCTTCGCAAAAAAGACCCTAAAAGGTTCAAGGTGGGCTCGGGTGTAGGACCAATATCGGTTTGGTAATATTATCTCATATGTACATGCAAAATCAAAATACTAAATTCATCCATAATTATAAAATATTCATCATTTAACACCACTAAGCATATTTCTTCATGTTAAGCATTTAACACCACTAATCGCCAGATGAGTAGGCGTCAGGATTACCTGCACAATTATCAAATACTAATTAGCTTGAAAACTCTGCACCAATAATCCATAACAAGTACCTCGATTTGATGCAAACAAGTACCTCGATTTGGAAAGGCGATGTTGTTGGCGGATAACGTTCGACAACCTTACCGTTCTTGTCCACCAAGAACTTCTCAAAGTTCCATTTGATCAAATCGCCTAAGAAGCCCCCAGCACTAGACTTGAGAAGGCTAAGATTTCAAGTCCTACATTCAAACACAAACCATGTTAGAAATAGACACTTTCTTTTTTCATTTGTTTACACTAAATACATCATGGATCACAGGAACACAGTTGTTACAAAACAACCTTAATAATTACTCTTTTTCTTATTTTTTATTTTATTTTTGATCAAATTTCAAGAATTTCCATCACCCACCAACACCATAACTAAATGAACAAATAAATATCACCACACATACACAATAAAAAAAATTACAACAAAAAAATAAACTCTCATAATCTCACTCCCCACCCCCAAAAGTTAACTAATCACATAATAAAACCAGCAAACCCAATGCTCCCCAACAAAGAATCTAACATGTTAACTGATCAAAAATGGGATCTCACCATGAAAGGGTCAAGGGGAAAACATAAATATTATATATGGCAACTGGCTAGAATGAGCTTGTCTGGAAAACTTGGTGGCTGATAATTGAGTCATGAAAACAAACTTGTCTGAGTTTCTGCTGCCCCCATGAACTAACACAAGTACCAAACTGGCTTGCAACTTGCCTAAAGCATAAAGCCAAAGAATGCAAACTCAGCCACCATACTTGCCCTTGTTCCACAAACTAAAGTTCAAAACTTCTAGCTAATCACAGAAATTCGCCTTACAAACTGGTAGCAAGGTGGTATTCAAGCTAATCAATCCACAATGCAAATTCTGGAAATCAGTCCTCAGTTCTAAGTAATCACACCCTCGCTCTGGTTCAGATCTTAAATGATAAAGCTAAGAACTTTCTATGGTTGCAGCGTACTTGAGTATCTTGGAACCACACTTCTCCATTGCATACTCCACCATGCTCAGTTCAGCTCAAAAATGGAAACCAGTAAACCAACCATCAAATGCACAGAAGGCAGACCAACCATCTTTGAGTGCACTGCTGGTTTTGTTTATACAGCACAGGCATTGCAGTTCCAGCTAGATGACACTACAAAGATGAAAAGTTCTTCCTAACAACCTACCTGCATTCCTAAACCTCAATGCGTTGAATGTTCAAGATCGAAAGCTGAAAAAAATCTACTGGACGAAAAAGAAAAGCAAACCTCGAATCAATCTCTTGGCTTCCCTTTGATACTCTTCCTGATTATCCAAACGAACCCCTATATATTATTGGATAAGAAGAGGGTCAACAACGCTGATCGTTAGAGCTTTCAAATGGGTGGCGCCAAACGTCCCAAGCCCAGTTCGGATCCACTCACAATGATTCGGCCTTCAATTCTCAAATCCTTTCACGAAAAGTGAGTCGAACCTGGGTTTGGGGAGCAGAGAAGCTGGGATCCGATTCAGAGCTGGGTTGGGTCTATTTTCCCTCCACACCCATCAATCTCCTGCGGATGTGAAAAAACCCAGCGCCGTGGTCGCCCCTGAGACGAGAAGGAGGAGGAGGAAGGAGAAGACGGCGTCGTCGACGAAACGGAGAGCTTCTGCTACTCCTCCAGGAGCTTCTCCTTCGACGAGCTGGGTCGTGCGAGTACAGTCACGCCGAGGAGAGGACGGGGAGCGAGAACAGGGAAGGGAAGCTGCGGCGGTGGGGGGCAGGGAAGGGCGGCGGCGGAGGGCGAACCCGAGTGCTGGACCGGCGCAGAGGATGAAGGAGATGCGGCGGCAGGTGCTGGGTCGATGATGGAGATGATAGCCGAAATGGGTTGGGGTGGGTAATTAGGAATTTAGGGTTAAAATGGGTTAAAATGGGTCTGAATGGGTTTTAAGGGTAAAGCCCAAAAATACCCTACCCTTTAGGGTCAGAATATAACCCGACCCTATTTTGGCCCTAAAGACTAATTTACCCTACCCGGCCCAAAGGGTTGGGCCGGGCCGGGCTGGGCTGATGGGTAGTAAGGGCCACAGTTACAGCCCTACTTCTGCGTAACCTCGTGAATCTCTGACTTGCTATAGGAAGGAAAGAAGGGAACAAGAGGGTCATTTCCTATTCCAGCTCCTTCGCTGGTTCTCCATTACCAGATTGGCATGGAGGAAGAAATAGGCAGGTTGCATGTTTCATCTCCTAAGGCTCTCGTAAGTGAGTATTTCTATCTGTCCCTCACATTGTCTGTCTTCGGTTTGTCTCTGCATTTTTCTGTCTTTATTGTGGGGCTGAAGTCGATGTATTTTTATCCCTTTCCCCCAGAATGGTTCTTCTTCTTCTTCCAAAGCCGAGAATGTCGAACCAAAGGGAAATATAGCGAATTCTGATCTACATAGATAAGAAGGGAGGAAAAGAAGAAGGTGGTAATGAATGAAGAAGAAGACGAAGAGGTGACCAATGTATCAATAACAGCTTCCTTGTCAAAAAAAAAAAAAAATAACAGCTGCCTTCATAGCTCCTGCTCACTCAATCGCAGTGGAGGAGAGCGACAAAGGTAAGAAACGGAAAGAGGTCGAAGTGAGGGGATGAACAAGAAGAAAAGAAGCAAACTTGTTGCTGCTCAAGAGCTATCTGATGGTAATTTTGATTCAGATGTACTGCTCAGTAATGATGCTTCAGGCAGTGAGAGTGAAGTAGAAATTTAGACATTACCAATTATGAAACACGAGACCTGAAATCGATATGAAAATATTTGGAACAACAATATACGAATGGTGTCAAAACAACAAGTAAAGGTAACCATGAATCTTGCTCTAATATTGATGTGGAGAAGGACAGAGTGTTTTCCTCTATAAGATAATAAGGACAGTTATTATCTCGTTTATTTTCAGTTTTGATGTGGAGAATGGTCCAAAAGCTGCTGATTTCATTCAGGTTCATTGTCTTCTTGGTCTTTTGCTTGTGGGTTCATTGCAGATTTTCTTTCTCATGCTGGGTGTTAATTGACCTGTTTAGATTTCTATATCCAAGGGACAACTAGTAATATCTGGAGATACTTTATGCAAGCTCAGGCTTAGGCTTATGGTTCATGTTTTGGTTAATCTTGCTCTTTATAACATATTGGCCTATCGGTTTTTTCTTTTTTGGTCTTATAGTGAAACTGCTGTGACTCGTCATCTTTTCATGCTTGCAGAATCTGAGTTTGGATCATTGGTCTCCAGATCACAATTTGTTAATTCTGTTGGTATGTTTTGTCAAGTAAAAGAGATTTTATAGATTGTTTACGATATCACCTTACTGGCAAATTATTTGAAGGCTGTAGCAGATTCTTATAACTAATAAATTTTTTTGTTTTCGGATGGCAGATACACTTCTTTGATCTATATGGCCGCAAATTGTGCACCAGCGATGCAGGTGTCTCTCGCAATGGTTTCTTTTCTAAGCGTGCAAAGGGGTAAATAACAATATAGAATATACTGATTTGAAACATTAAGAGGTCACAAGTCTTCCATTCTGTTGGGTCATTCTTAAACTTGTACAGTTTCCTTTTGGTTCAGGTTTATGAATAATGGCAGGCCATTTCTCATCTCCATAAAGGATCCACAGCCCACAGGTCTATACTGAACTTGCCCTTCTGTTAGCTGGGTCCCTGTTGGTCTAAGGGTGTGTTTGTTTTGGATTTAGCTTTACTATTTTAAGGTGAGAGCCGTATTGTGAGTTTGGTTGAATATTTGTTCTAGAAAGTTAGATTGAAGGGACATTTTAGTTGATGTTATAAGCTGAATTGCATAGTCTTTGTCTCCTCACCCATTCTAATTGCTTACAGACACCTGGGAATGACATTGGCAAGAACTCCTTCGAGAGGCATAGATTGGTAAACACAGCCTTAGCAGAGGAGATGAAGGAGATCCACGCTCTCTCCATCAAGAAAGCTGCTACCCCTTAACAGTGGAAACAGCAGCAAAGAGCCGGAGAAACCCACGTCCTTAGCTGCCTCAACAGTGGAATTAAATGGTCAGTTTCTACTCTCTTCTCATTGCAAGGATGAACAACTCTCACCCATATGAGCCTTTTTGTATCTGGACCTATCTGTCTGGTTTTGTTTTGTTGTTTTGTGTCTTTTAACTTTTTTGATTGGGTTTAATGCTCTTTCTTTGTTGTATGTTTAGTTAAATCATATATCTTTTACTCTCGTGTTTGTTTCCGTCCACCCATGTTGTGTGAGATGGATTAGGGGAAATGCAAATAGCGAGTTGCAAGCTGTTGAATTTGATTTGCCTGCTGAACCAGTCCATCTTCCCAGCAAGGTGACACTTTCGTTTTCTTTGTGTGGTTGTTTCCATCTTTTAAGATGATATGGAAGTGGTTGATAGCTGTCTTGGGCTCCCAATCATCAAGCACTCAAATGACGGGTTGTGGATCTACGATGTTAAGGAACTTGCTTATGCCATCAACGAAAAGGGTGCCCTTCCGTTCAGTTGAGATTGCTTGCCGGTTTCTTATCAGAATGTTCAGAGATTCTACGAAATCGAATTAGTTTGCTGGTCGTGTCACTTTGTAGAAGCAGTGAAACCCAGTAACATGTTCGTGCACAATCTTGTGACCTTTTTGAGAATTTCATAAATGCAACTCAATATATGTGGCTACTCTGACTATCGGTTCTCTAGAGATACTTTTATTGTTGAGAAGTTTCTGTTTTTTGTAAATTCAATATGCTTTTAGGTTCAGCCTCATGGTCCTCACATGGATATTCTTTTGCTAGGCTGGGATTGTTGCAGGGTTTGAATCAAAGGAGGAGCTACCATGACACGAGCTTGATCATTTGTTGGAAAGAAAAGGTTCAGCTGGCAGTGCATACGATAATCTTTTCTTCTCAGTTTATGCAGCTTAGTTATCATCCTTGCCCCGTTAACTGCATGTAATATGGTTCAGTGAGAAGGGGTGTTGGGATATCTCACTCTAGAGTGTATTGCGGTTTCTACCCTTTCCTTTTGCAAAGATGATGTGCCCATTATTTCTATTTCTCTTTGCTTAGATTCTGTAGATCAGTTGCATGCATTTGAACTGATAATGAAGAAGAATCCAATACTCAGTAATGATTCATTTATTTCCTTTTTACTTAATGTCATGTGCCAGCAGTCTTTATAGGCCCTTGGTATGAGTGGTTGGTTTGCTCCTTACTGGAATCCTACTGACTCAGAAGAAAGATGGGCCTCTTGGAGTTTGCTTTCTGTCTATTTGTTTGGTGGGTGGATTGGTGCATATAAGAGAGGTATACCTTTTTTTTTTTGTATAGTTTTTTTGCATTTTTGTATTTATCATTCTTCTCTCATCACACTGATCGGATTTCCCTTCCTCCATTTTCAATCTGTTTGGAGCTGGTCTTCGTTTCAATCTTTCCCACCAAGTCCTTCGAGGTGATGTCAGAGATTTATTTGATCAGGGGTGGTCGCCGATTCCATTTTGAGCCAGCAGAACTAGGGGGAATCCATGGACGACCATCACCATGGAAAATCCATGCCCCATCAGTTAAATCTAGAAAGTCCGTTGTCACCTTCGTCAGAGCATTGATCGGATCAAAGTCGGCAATAGTGGCCTCCGCCTAAGAATCTGCAGGTTATTTCTCTCTCTCTTGGTGTCCCCTGTACTGGTCTCTTTCTCTATTTCAATGGTTTTTAATATAATGTAGAATCCAGTTCCCCGTCCATGGCATAAGAATCCTTCAGTTCCAGCACTCAGCAGTGTAAATTCGATGCGGGAGACGAAGGAGGAGAACAGGTCATTTGAAAAGCGTTTCGTTGCCATTCTTTATGTGTTAGATTGTATCTGGTGTAATGGATATGTTTTCATTGGTGGATCACAGATTCTTGATTGTATTTCGATCCTTCCAGCCTACTCTTAATGACGATGGATTTCTTGGGTGGCAACGACTTGGTGGTATCTTTACCCTCTTTTCCCTTTTTAAAACGCCTCTAGAAAGTTCGTTGAATTGGATCTATTTCTTGAGTCGTCGCCTGAGTGATTGGTCTATCATATCTGTTTGTCTTGCATTTCATTTTTCTTTATTGTTTTACCATAATATTAATCGTTTCTTGCTTTGTTTGTTGTTATATAGGAAGATCAATGTGGTCTCTCCAGCCGATTCAACAACTCTCATCTCTCACACCCCACAGGGAAAGCGGAGGTGAAGACAGACTCAAATTTGTGGTGACCAGCTAACCTCACTCCCCAAATGACTGTGGTGGGCAAACCGAACAAGGGGAAAATTATGAAAATCAATTTGGAGCAAAAATCAGTGGTGGGCGGAGGATAATTCACAACGCTGAGAAGTTCTTAACGAAGATGAGAAACCGAGGCAGGACACGAGGAAGGTAGTGAAACATTAGGCCCATTAGCTACAGCATGGTGGAGATAGCACAAGGCATGTTATTTATGTTGGATGTCATTTATAGATATTGTGATCATTGAACACGATTTACAATTGTGCTCGGTTAATTTCAGTAATTGGGGATGTTCAGATGCACGTCTTACTTATTCTTATTGATATCTTATCTTTCTTGGTTAGCTCACTTCTGGTTGCTTGATGTTAGGCGTGGGCACCAGTGGCCAGTGTGAGGGATTTCTGAAGCACTGATTGCTACATCTTCATCATGTGAATGAACAATTGCTCCTGCACTGATCTAAAGGGTAAGCACCCTGAAAAATGTAGTGATTAGAACAAAAGAAAGATTGTGTCTTTTGGTAAACACAAACCTCAAAAGCTTCACACAGACACCAACCTCAAAGCTCATAGATTTCCTCAAAACATCCTCGGTACATTTCTTACACACAACTGACAACTAACACACAAATCCAAACACAAAAGAAGGAATCATGGGTTTTGTTTCTTGTCTTGGTTCTGCTTCTTCATTGGCTATATATTACTATTTCCTGCTTCTTTCCTTGTTGCTTTTCCCTCCATCTCTCTCCCAAGTCTCAGGTTTGTCTCTTCTCTGGTTCGAATTCTCCATCAAGCTGAAAACTTTTACAAGGGTTTTCTCTATGTTGTTACCTTAAACCCCAATTTGAGGATCCCTCTTCCTGCTGCTGCAGAATTTGTGAGCATAGGCTGTTGTTGATGAACAACCAACCACACCGATTCAAGAACTGGGCTCCAATGGGTTTCAGACAGTAACCTAATGAGAACTGGGAATTCGGTTTCTGTCCAGAACTCAGATGGGAATTTGGAGCAGTACAAGAGAAGAAGAGATTTCCCAATAGACAGCAACAGAAAGTACTGCTACAACTTGGCCACGAGGGAGAGGAGGAGGTACTTGATTCGAGCTACATCATCTGATCGACATGAAGTCTGGTAAGTATCTTGTCTGGCTCATACTTTTCTATGTTGCATTTGGGGAAACTAAACTGCTAGCTTTGATCATTACTCAAGTTTAGCTTCTTCTGGGATCAATCTGGTAGGGACTATGTGCTTCGGAATTCGGATATGTTGTGCTAAAACTGAGATCAATTTTCTTTTGAGGGGATATCTAAGCTGAACTGCAGACTTAATGCTTCTTGTTAGTCGTTCTATTGTAGCAATTATGTGGTGCATTTTGCCAGGTTTCCAAGAGTTATAGTCTGACTCCTGCTGTTCATTTCGGACTCTTGATAATGGCATGTACATATTAACCGTGGTGTGCTAGGGATATGTGAAATTAGCCTGTGAATTCATGGTGAATTCATGGTTACATGCAGCATGGTTACTTGCTAGTTCTTAATTGTGCCCGACTCATCAAGCTTACCAGTACACATGATTTCTATGCGTTTCCACGACATGTTTTATTTTTAACAAATCAAAGATAAGGCACACAATGAGAAGGCTATAGTCGCTGAAATTGTAATTGTGTGTTTGGGTCAATCTCTTTACAAATGAATGCTATTTTTCTTAATTGCTTGTTATGGCAAATATTACTCTTTTTAAGCACACACTTGAGAAACCGCGTGGTAAGCTACTTACCTCGATTCCTTATTTTTGAAGCACACACTTGAGCTTCTGTAGCAGCATGTCTTTGACTTTTCCTTCTGAGCTATTGGTGGACATATGATGTGACTATTTCGATGCATTAGAAAGATTTTTGAATAATCTATCCAAAATATGCTTTCAAGGTCCTCTAACTTGCTCTAGTGAATGATTGTTCCGTTTATTGAGAATTTTTATATGGAAAAGACTGCAATCTGAGCTATTATCGTTGTTGTCCACTCTTTTCAGTATTTGTTGTTCAGTGTTACGGATCCCCGTCTTAGAATCAAGCCTACCACAATATCAGATGTGAGTTTAGTAAGGGTGTTGTTGCTGGGCAAGGCTTGGACAGTAGATTGGGGATTAATTGGTTGCGGCTTGCTTGATTTCAAATCCTGGTGGGACTATGTCCTCGTGGTGAATTAATTGCAGGGTGGCGGATGTGAGTGGATGAAGCTGCAGCTCGTTGGTTAGCTCACTTCTGGTTGCTTGATGTTAGGCATGGGCACCAGTGGCCAGTGGGAGGGATTTCTGAAGCACTGATTGCTATGAATAACATACATTGTAGTCTTTTGTGGGGTTAATTATCTAGCCCATTGAATTCTTATTACTAAACTGCACTGCACTGCACTGCACGTTTTGGTAAAATGTAATGACCCTAGGTGACGAAGACAAGGTGGACGACAGCTGGCAAGGGTATAAATAGATAAGAAGGACTGTTGTAGCTATCTTTGAGCATTTTCCAAACAAACTGTGAAGATTAGTTAGACAATAGATACATTTCTCCTTTTCCCTGTAAAAACTCTGCTTCTCTTCTTCGCTGGAAATAAAACACCGATCCTCATTCTTTACATAAAACAAAAGTTGGAGTCCAGTAGGGAGATTTTTCAGATCAAAGTCCTATTTTCTTATTGCGTTCAAAGTTTTCCATCACACTAACCCATAAATCGCAGGTCATAAAATTGTAGAGGAAAGCAGGTTAGATTGATGCAAACGGAGAAGTGTAGGCACGCACCACCGGGACTAACAGCTAATTCCTCTGTGCTTTGATATCCTGGGTTGGTTTCCTCTGGTTGTTTTGCATGATTCCGACCTGCAGGAGCACATCTTCACCTGTTAGTGGTGTGGATTGCTAGCCTACCCAAGCATGATTAATGCGTTTCGACTGTGCCACCTCCCATTGACTCCCCATTCTCAGATTCGTTTGGTTTGCTCTCGACTGGCTCAGCTGGTTTTTTTGTTTCTTCTCTTTTTGTTCTTCTTGCAGCTCTTGTGATGTTGTCTTTCTTGTTGCTTGATAGGGCTTTCACAGCTTGTGTTGCTCTGCCCTGTTTATTCTTTGTGTTTACCCTTTTGTTCTTTTATATTTTCCATGCATTTCACCATTATAAAAAAATATCAGATGTGAGTTTAAGTTGATGGTACAGTTTTCAAGACAATGCGAACAGGTTTTTGTTTGAGTGTAACAAAGTATGTGCAGTTAGTTTACTGGTTTTTTTAAATTTGTGGCTGCTGTAGATGTTTCTGATTTGGCTGCTGAGTAGCTGGGATTTGAGAAGGTTTCAGAGCAGTTCATTGAAGAGTGCAAATGAAAGGCTGTGCTCTTCAAGCATAAGAAGACTGGTTGTAAAGTTATGTCAGTGTCAAATGACAATGAGAACAAGGTCTTTGGCATTGTGCTTCGAACACCTCCGTAGGTATATACCAACTTCCTGTATTTTGTAGCAGATGCTAAAGTTCAATGAACTAGTAACATGCTGATTTACTATGTAAAGAAGATTTGGGAGTATTGGAGTTCAGTTGCATATAGGACCTTCTTTTCTGCAGTTCTTAACCTCTGATTCTGTAATGCAGGAAGGATTCAACTGTGATTCCACACATACTGGAACACAACATACTGTGCGGGTCAAGAGAATATCCTTCCAAAGAGACCGAGTTAATTAAGGGAAGTTTGAATACATATCTTAATGTAGAGTCTTAGCAGGGGAAGGAAGTGCAGGTTTGGCTTGTTCGTCTGGCCTGGTTATCGCACAGTATCCAGAACCCTATGGACATGGTCACTCTTCTACATAGAGTGGACTTTGGTCAGTTTATTACTTGTTCATCGTTCCTGCAAGACATTGACCTCTTCGTTAAGAAAGATTCGGTTTTGTTCACAGAACTAATTAATAAATTCTGCTTCATGATTACATTATTTTGTTAAACTGCATTTTGGTTCTTAATCACTTCTTCTAGTATTAGATGTTGATAACGAGCATACGAAAGATTGATAAGGGGAGGAAAAAGTTAGATCCAACAGGTTCTTGTATATCTGATGTTTTAAATTCTCTGCAATTCATGGTTGAATTAATAACAAGTTCTGTGACTAGCTGTCTCTGTAAGGTAGCTTGGTTACCCTAGTTCCCCTAGTGATAGAAGTCTGTTAATCAAATTGTTGAGGACAATAAAGAAGTTTGATTCTGCTAGTACCAGTAACTTGAGGAGGAGCTGTCTGGATGATATTAGATTAGGCTTGCAACTTGAACTGCCAAGACGATGGAGTATGTGTTTGAGATGTGCCCACCCAGCCATGTTGAATTGGGCGATTACAGAGCTGCAAGCGCACCCAGAAGTAGTAAATAATGATACTGCAAATTAATATATATTTCCTTTAGGCTTAATACCCCATTTTGACCCGAAGTTTGGCGTTAGTGACAATTTTGGTCCCAATTTCCGGATATTACAATTTTAGCCAACCTTTCAAATTTATGGACGTATTTGGCTCGTGTTACGTTTTGATCGTCAGAATTGACGGTCAACTAATTTCCTCGTAAGTGAGCAACCTTTACTGATTTGGACCGCCACGTCATTAACTAAATAAATAAATAAATAAAAAAAAAACAAAACCCGACCGTTCCCTTTCCTCCCCCACCTTTCCCTTTCATTCCCCATCTTTCTCTTCATCGTTCCATGCAACCCCACCCGATCGACGAAATCCGACCAGGAATCAGCGCCGATTGATCGCGCGCTCGGTGAATCTCTGCCGGCGCGGCGAAGATTCATTTCCTTCCCCTTCTTTCCCTGTCCTACCTATCTTTTCCTTTCTGTTTTCGTCGAATCTGCCTTCCTTCCCCGCTAATCAACGAACTCCGACCTAGAAGCAAACAACAGCGATCGCGCGCCCGGTGAATCTCCAGTCGGTGGCGCGATCCCTAACTCTTCCTTTAGCAACCGGCGATTCATCTTCCCCCTTCGCCCAAGTGTTTTTCCCTGTCGTGCCTTCTGTTGGAGATAAAAGCTGCTGTCATCGTCTTCTTTTTGTGGGACAAGTTGAGGTCGGGACCACAGCCACGAAGATCGACTTTTCACCTATACAGGTAACGATCTTGCTGTCGTTTTTTATTGTTTAAGGATTTCGATTATGGGAAATCGCCGCACTCAATAAACAATTGCCTTTTGTGCTCTTTTTGGGTTAGTGATTATGAAACACGTGAAAGGAATTTAAAATTGGTTGTTTGTATGTGTTTGTCTTGTTTATGCTTTGTTAACCATAAAGAGACCATAAACAATTCGTCCACTAATATATAACCTAATTTGTTCATATTGTACAGGATGAGCATCCTACTTGTGCTTCGTCATGGGTGTATACTAGATACATCAGGAGCGGTTCCAAAGTTTGTTGGTGGTGTTGAAGACCGGGTTGATGTTATGTCGTACTTTGAGCTTGTGAGTATTTTGATTCAAGATTTAGATTACTGGTCGGTTGAGAAGATGTGGTATTTGACTCCGGGACATAGCATGGAGGATGGTTTGCACGAGATTGCTAATGATTCTGACGTGATGAATGTGTTACTTGGAGATGCCGAGCTAGGGGAGGGGGAGGTGGTGGTGTTTTTTGAAGCAACAAAGTTTCTCGGTGAAATGGGGGACAACTATGGGAATAGTGAAGATGTTGCAGACGAGGAAGGCGACAACTCTGGTGTCGCCGAGTTCATCCGACTAGATTATTATGAACCTCAGACTTCAGATGAAGAATATCATGAGATTAGGGCCCGTTTTCGTCGCATGAGACAGAAATGCATGTTTGAGGCGACTGGATCGGGGGAAGAGGTCGGCCTAGTATTTGTAGATGAAAATGAGGTAGAACAGAGTGTGCAGCAGAAGGATGGAGAGCCAGAGCAAGAGCAGCTAGAGGTACAACCTACTGTGAACGAGGAAGAAAATGCAGGGGAGGGACAGCGAACATATAACATGGATGATGTTGATGTTGAAGTTGAAGGGAGTGAAGCTTCTATCTATAGGGGTTCTGAGGACTCAAATCATGTGAGGGGAAATTTGGATGAAGAAGAAGAGGTGTCTATGATAGACAAGTGTCGATTTTATGATCCAAATTGTGATCATAAAACACTTTCGATTACCACACATATGAGGTTTGCTAGTCCTAAGCAGTTTCAAGAAGCTATTACAAAGTATTCAATTGAGATTGGAGATGATATTAGATGGGTGCGCAGAAGTGAGAAGAGAAAAGAAGCTGTGTGTGCCCATAAGTGTGGCTGGAGGGTGTATGCAAGTTGGTATGGGAAGAGGGAGACTTTTATGGTGAAAGGTGTTGGGATTCCTCATGACTGTCCGCGTACTTTTCGCATTCGAGGTGCTACTTCGAAGTGGATAGCTACTCAATTTCTAGATCGGTTTAGAGTGGAGCAAGATTGGGATGTGAATCTCATGGCGGTTGAGATAAAGCAGAAGTACAATGTGGAGGTGACACGGAAAATCTGTTACTGAGCTCGGATAGAAGCTCGACGCATTCTCCATGGCTCCTTACAAGAAGATTTCAATCGGATTTGGTCATATATAGGTCATCTACAGCAAGTTGACCTGGACGGAAACCTTCCGGCTAGAGGTGAATTTGGACCCAGGATCCGATAATGTATTCTTCAAGAGATTCTATGTTGGCTTTTCAAGCGTGTGTCGTGGATTCTTGGAAGGCTGTAGGCCTTTCTTCTGTCTAGATGGGTGCTTCTTGAAAGGGGAGGTCAAAGGGATGTTACTTAGTGTTGTTGGAAAAGACAGAAACAACCACATGTACCCGATAGCATGGGCAGTCGTTGAGTCTGAAAACGAGAGTTCGTGGACATGGTTCTTGCAAATATTGAAAGAACAACTTGGGCTACAAGATGGAAATGGGTGGACAATTGTTTCAGACCAACAGAAGGTTTCATTTGGCTTTTCTATCTTATTTAATGCCTCAGCTAATTATTCGTGTGTTTGCTTCCTAGTTTTACTATGCATTCTATAAATAATATTTGCTGGAATTTTCTTTAACATGGCTTGGTTGAGGCCATCCATGAGTGTTTACCAAATGTTGAGCATAAGAAGTGTGCTTGACACGTCCATGCACACTTCAAGGTGAAGCACAGGTTTGATTTGGCAACGGATCTTTATTGGGAGGCTGTATATGCAACCAATGAGGCTGATTGGAGGGATGCTACAACTAAGATGCAGGCTCTTAAAGGAAATGTTTATGAGGGTTTTATGGCTGCAGAACCGGAGCGGTTCTGCCAGTTATTTATGAAGACTCATTCGAAGTGTGCATCCGTGGAGAGCAACATATGTGAGACATTTAACAGTTGGATTATGAAGTTCAGAGTGTCGCGGGTGATTGCTATGATAGAGGGAATTAGAGTGGCTGTGATGACTCGGCTTGTCGTCAACAGGAGGAAGATGAGACGATGTACTAGGAAGTTTCCTCCAGTCGTGAAGAGCAAGCTAGAGAAGTTTATACACGAGGCTAGAATGTGTACTAGTCGTCCATCAACAGCTTATAAGCATGAGGTGCAGGTACATGGAAAGGGGTACGTTGTTGATTTGGAGTCTCGCACCTGCACTTGTGGATATTGGGCTCTTAATGGGATTCCATGCTATCATGCTATTTCTGCAATTCGGTCTATGAGATTTGATCCCAATGGTTATGTGAGTATGTACTTCGATTTGACATATGTTCAAAATGCCTACAAGTACCCAATTCCAGCTTCAGAAGGGCCACAAGCGTGGCTTCCCATGGAGGGTTACAAGGTCTACCCGCCAAAAATGAGGAAGCTGCCTGGCCGTCCAAAGAAAAACAGAAGGAAAGAGGCAGCAGAGTTGCTAATAAGGCGTGCTAAAAGTGCTAGTGGAGAGATAGCTACTAGGTACAACAACCGGGTTCATTGTATTCGATGTGGGGTAGAAGGCCATAATAGGAGGAGCTGTACCAACCCAGCAATACCACAACCACCTCCTCCAGCTCAACAAAGGCCTAAGCGAGCCCCAAAAAAGAGACCTGCAGTGCCACAACAACCTACTAAAAATGGAGTAAGTCAATTTCATATTATGTTAATGATTGACGTGATTTAACAGCAAGTTAATCTAATTTCCTAGTTTTCTTATTGTTCAGGAGCCGAGTAAAAGAAAGTTACACTATTCTAGGTGTAGGGCAGACAACCATAATTCAAGAACTTGTCCGTTGAGGGTTGGAGTTCAGGTATAATGTTAAAAACATTATCAGATTACTAATTAGAGTGTCTAATTAATAATTAGAGTGAATTACAGATTGAAATCATGGGAAATTGTAGCCGACAAGTCATGGAGCGAGAGGTGAGGAGGGCTAATGAATAGCACACCGCCTCCAGCCTCTCAACCCGGGACACAGTAGTCTGTGTTGGAAGCATCAATGTCAATTCCCTTCTTTTGTCTTTTGAACATGCAATAGGCTGTAGGCATGTATGTGGGAATTTAGAACATGTAGTTTCGGATTGAAGTGAATGGTGGAAATTTGAACTCTAGTAGGTTGTAGGCATGTTATATTCGCCTCTTTTCTGAATCATGTATTGTGAACATACAGTAGCCATGTTTCGGAATTAAGTTAATGGTAGAAGAAAGCTGATCATTCAGAAAATACAGTGGAGCTATTCTTATGTTACATAGACTCACACAAAGCTTACAGTACAAGCATTAACATAGACTCACACAAAGCATTTAACACGAGTAGCTACTTCTAAACCTACTCTAAACACCAACACAAACCATCGGTTTAGCTACGGACCAGCCAGCTAACATACCAAATAACACAAAAGAAGCTAATAGCGATACAAAAAGTAGTAATCCTACTTTGCAGTGGACACACAGTATGTCGCATTTTGTTCAATTCAACACAATTACGAGTACTGATATCTGCAAACTTTGCCAACTCTTCAGCCATATATAACTTTTGTTTCTTCATCTTGTCGGCCTTCTCTTCAGTTTGTTCACTTTGACCTTCAAATCGTGAAGATAAGTTCTCCATCTCTACTTCCATCTCAACCAATCTTGACTTCAACAGCTCAT